CCCCCCCCCCCCCCCCCCCCCCCCCCCCCCCCCCAATCTTTCACACGCGCAGGCTCTCCCCAGCGTCCTGGGAGACGACCGCTTCAAGGTGATGTTCGAAAACCCGGACTACCAGGTGGACGATCAGAGCGAGGAGTTCCGCCTCCTCAACCCCATCGTCTCCAAGGTGGGACAGAAGAGGCAGAAGAAGCTGCGTCTGCTGGCCCAGCAGGCTGCCGCTTCCGAACAGGTAACTCACGCGTGGCAGAGCCCCGCCTACAGACGGAATTCCGTCCAATGTGAATCATTTGTCCCGCAGTGGCTCCTGATAACTTAAAAAAAACCAAATACACAAGCGTTCTACCCGGACACTTTTTAGTTGTGCACCGTTAAGCAACAGGTGCTGAGGTCAGCATAACAAGCTGGTTGGCGTGTGAGTCTGTTTCACTATGGCGAGCTCAAATATTGTGTTTAAGACGAGGACTGTGTGTGGGCGTTGCCCCGCCATCGTTGGGATAAAACAATTACAGAAGTAATTTCCATTGACGTTATAGTTATAGCAAGTTTATTTCTGGAGCACATTTCTTACATGTGGGAATTCAGTGTGTTTTACATAAATAAAAAGTAAAAGCACCATCCATACATAGAATATGATTTTAAAAGAATACATTTAACAGAGATTGGTATAATTTAAAATATAATTTATGATATAATATAATTAAAAGAAAGTAAGTACATAAATAGAATAAAGACACAGTAAGAACATAGTAGCTCAATCGTAGGCATACGTTTTAACCTGGATTTAACAATTGCTACATTGATATCATATCTAAGATTTTCTGTCAGTCTGTCCCAGTTGCATGCAGCACAACAGCTTCATTGACACTTACCAGAACACTCCTCCTTATGCACAAGTTTTCTTTTATTCTTTTTAAAAGCATAAAGCATAAGAGATGTTTTTCAGTGACCTGCTGCCTTTTGGGAAATGGTTCAGTGTTTGTACAGTCTGATACCCACTTATTTTTATCATAAAAATATAGTTTACCAAAGTTGCCAGAGGGCAGAATGCTGCCTCAGCCCCCAGCGTGTCTGTCATTGACACTTGCACTACTGGCGTATCAGTAAAGATTGTCAGTGTGTGCAGTCACTCATGTTAATATGAAAGTGATGAGAATTATTACTTTACAGACCGATGTAGATTCTGATTGCCTCTGAAGTTGAAGTACAAATATTTGTGGTTTTTAAATTTTTTTTTTAAATTTTAAAATATAGTTGGGTAGTAAAATAAGTAAACGTTTGGTGTTCAGTAAGGAGAGAAATAGTGTACTTTCTGTAGGTAAAATGCTTTATTTTTTGTTTTCATGCATTAATTGGTGCCTTTTGCTAGAGATAAAAAAAAAAATCAACATGGACAAAATGCACCAAATTGCACCATTTAAAAGAAAATTTCTGTAAAAAAATACAATAAATGTATATACTGTATAAGTCTAGGCTTCTCTAGACTCTGCATAGGATGAGGCTTCTCTAGACTCTGCATAGGATGAGGCTTCTCCAGACTCTACATAGGGTAGAGTCTAGGCTTCAGGCCCCGTCCTCATTGTCAGGAAAGACTACTGCATACATAACACTGGCTTTGTGACGTCCCCATCCAGGCGGATGAGGACGATAAGGAGCCTGAGGGGCGAGCCAGCTCCGAGGAGGAGAGCTCAGACGATGACAAGAGCTGGGTGGAGGAGGTGAGGGAGCAGCGGAGGCTGATCTGGGAGGAGGGCCGGGACCGCCGGAGGCAGGGGAGGAAAGAAGCGGACCGCAACACCGTCCTGCTTGAAAGGGACCAGAGCGGAGGAGAGGAAACCTCAAACATGGCCGAGGGCAAGAAGACAAGTCGGCCTCAGTATTATCAGATCAAAGCTGGGGAGGAGTTCAGAAGTTTTAACGACGTGGCCCGCAAGCAGAGACTACAAAAGTATGTATTTTGTATATGTATCAAATGGAACTGTTGGGGTGGGGGATAAACTGACCTGACCTGTCCAGCTATGGAAGACGCTTCTAAGTGAATAGATTTACAAACTTAACTCAATAAATATCAATATGAATTATAATAAAAGACAAATAACTGTACACTGTTTGGTATATTGTGTCTGAGGAATGTGTGTTTTTCTTCCAGGGCTTCTTTGGAGGACCGTCTGAAGTTGGAGGAGCACTCAGGAACCAGCAACATGACCGACACCGCAGTCGGCAGCAAGCAGCTGACCTTCACTCTCAAAAAGGTGAACTGTTCACTTGGCGCACCGTCCTCTCACTCTCCCGTACCTCTCTCCGTTGTTCAAAGCAATGAAGTACACGTATAAGCCCCCAACAGCTGTATCTGCTAAAAACCAACTAGTGCAGCCAATTGTCCAAGCTGGTTTGCAGATGGATTGGTGAGGAGGAGGTTTAAAACTTCACATAGTCTTAAAAAACATTGTTTTTTAAAAGGCCACCTAAAGCCCCTTTCCTTCAGGACTAACGCTCGCTAACATCTGGCTTTCTGTCAACAGGGATTTGGGCAGTTATTATAATTTATTCTACAGACAAAAAACACAATAAGATCTCTTTAAAACAAGCAAAAGTTACCTAGCTCGATGGAAACAAACTCATCAAAACGGTCTTTTGTTTGTCTCTCCACTGTTTCAACAATCATCAACTCTGCTTTGAGAGTTTTTATAGAGAGACTGAACTAGTAACACATTCTTATTTTTAAAAGAACATTCACTGTTTACTAACTCTGGTGCTAGCTGGCGTAGCCGTGACCTTGAACATGGCACACCAGATAAAATCCCCATAATGGCATACTTGTCTACTGACCCTGTGAAAGGAGTCTCTCGCCTATTTCTATCGGGTTTTCCCGCGTCACAAAAACCCACATATGTACACAAATGTAGGTGTAAAAAGGGTATAATTCACCAAAAGCAGCTTTTGCACACTGTAGACACAATTATTGAATAGCTGCAATCTGATAAAGCTACTATTAATACTCAAAACTATTTAAACATGATTGACTGACAGTGATATCAACAACCACAACCAATTAAAAATAGCCATACATTTATTTTTTACTAAAATATACAGACTAAATAGAAAAGAGCATTGATGTACAATCTTCTCATCCCCTTGCCTGGCCCTACCTGGAAGCGAGTAATAGTTGCCTGCCTCCCCCCAAGTATGAATGCACTATTAGGAGGTTTGAAACACAAATCGGGACAGAATTTCTGAAACATGCGTTATTCCGTCCTCATTTGCAGTCGGAGCAGCAGAGGAAGCAGCAGCAGGCGGAATGGGAACACCACGAGGAGAGGAGGAAGCTGAGGCGCTCGGCCGGACACCTGAGCAGCGACCGCGGGAGAGGACGCGGCGGTGGCGGCAGGAGAGGACGCGGCGGCGGCAGCGGGAGAGGACGCGGCGGGGGAAGAGGAGGAGGGAGAGGCCACTACTGAGAGGGGCGGCCTAGACTACAGAAGCATTGCTGGCACAGTCCTCAGCTCACGTCGAGGTTTTGTAGCGGCTCTCATTAACTCAACTTCCAAGTGTACGGGTTTTATGAGACAGACTGGAGATGCTGCACAAAGTGGCAAAGACTGACATTGATGAACAGACGAGCTGCTCCTGGGTGGTCTGTGTTCAGCTGCTCTCTGCAAATTCAGAGCACATTCAAAAAAACAAAGATTACTTATGTTGCTGTCTTTGTGCTTATAATGCTTATGCCATTATCCAAAAGTACCGTGACTACGTTTTTTTTTTAAGCAGGGACGTCCCCAGACGGAGTTGGAGGAATGAAGAGCTGAATGGACTTGACCTGCCTTGTCTCAGGCGTCTGTAGTTTGTTAGACGTGCTCCTCAGTTGAGTCTACTATTTCAGTTCCTGGAAGGGGAGAAAATGGATGCTTTTGCGGAAAAAAAAGTTTGTGTTTTTAATGCTCTTTTTTATTACTGTAGATTGTTAAGCGAACACCGGCTTAACAACACTTGTACAGTATATTATATTTGGTACAACACTTGCTCGTCGTCTTTGCTTTTATTGCCAAAATGTCTCGATCAAATTAGAGCAGCAGGAAGTAAGAGAAGGGAAAGAGAAAAATGTCCTCGGCATGCCAACACTGGCCCCCAGGCTCATTTGAACTAATTTGTTGTCGCCACGCTTTTGCGCCATGAGCCATCAGTCTGTATTTGGCGACAGCGTGAACAACGCTTCATTGAGGAGAAATCCATTAAATTAGCATGTTGAACAACAAATGCTGCAAGAACCAAACGTGATTTCAACGCTGTAACCTTTAGAGGAATAACTCGGCGGTTTGGGAAATGAACTTATTTTGCTGTCTGCCTGAGAGTTGCATAAGAGGATTGATACCACTCATGTCTGTACGTTCAATAAGAAGCCGAAGCTGGCAGCCGACAAGCTCAGCTTAGCTTAGCGACTGTAAATATGGAAACCGCTAGTCTGGCTCTGTTCAAGGATAACAAAACTTGCATACCAGCATCTCTAATGCTCACTGACTAGCATATTGTGTGTCGTATGTTCAATCTAAACTTAACTAAACTAAAAAGCAAGCAATCCCCGTCTGTGTGTCCTTTGCATACGTCAAGAACCGTTCACCCGTTCTACTTCACACTCGTGTGTATTGCTGGGGACCTGAGGGAGTGCAGTGTCCAATTTGGTGCAATTCGGACACGTGACGCCTTCAATATTAATAAAGTTGGAATAAACGAGCGATAGTGCTCCTTGCAGCGGGGGCGGAGCTTCAGATCTCTGCAGAATGTAGTGCGCTTCACTTTAGCTGCTGGATGTGCTAATGTTTGAGTCAAACCAGCGATGAACGGTTTTAGACAACGCCGCAAGCAGCTCTTCCGCAGCTTTTCCGGTCTTTGTGCTAAGCTAAGCTAAAAGACTGGGCTCCAGCTACATGTTTTCCATACAGATGTGAGGTTGGTATGAATCATCTCACTCCCAGCCACAACTCGTAAACCGGTGAGCAGTTTACCCAAAATGTCAAACTATTCCTTTCATTTTGTACATGACCTTTTTATTGTCGTGACACTTTGCAAACAGCTAACTAGATCAGGATCAGGGTGTTGTCATACTTGAAAACAGAAATTCAGAAGTACGAAGCCTTTCGAGGATGAAGAGGAAGCTTATTATCCAGGTATTTGTGGAGAGATTACCGTTGGTTTGATAGTAGGTTACTGAGGCCAGGCGACAAAGCCCCAGCCTAGTTCACTCCTTTGTGTTTTAACACCAGTGACACTGCTAAATGATTTGTATTTGTTCTACAGTGGGACAAAGTGTCATCTGGTATAATTCCTTAATCTGGATTCCTTTCCTTCTCTTTCACAATGCTGTGGCTTCACCATGACAACTGGCAACCAGGTCACAGGAAGTGGGTCAACCGAAGCTGACACAAAGAATAGGAGACCTTTCCATGAAGGCAAGGAGGTTGTTACTGGATATACTTTACCCTGTATGCCAAACCATTACGCAACCATTACGTATTCCTCGTGGTTTGAGATTTCGGAGGACTTCTGTCTCGTGGAATTTATCAAGCCATGTTTTTTCATTTGCATGCAAATCAGAGCTTGATTGCAGTGGGACATTGAGTGCAATTGCAACTCATGGTGTGTTTCAGGTTTCATTACAAACACAAAAGAAGCAAAAACCAGGGATGCTTTAATGTAACCAAATCAAACCATATCTTGTGGTTCCATCATGGTAGTGTTCCCTGTTTTTCTCAGAAGGGAAGGCAGTGTGTCCATTGCTCTGGATAATCCACAGAAGACACTGTCCACAAGTTTCATTGGGACTATTTGTTAGGTAGAGAGGGAGTGCCATTGAAAACTCTTGGCAGTGAGGTCTCTTCAGAGTAACCATCACATTGTTTTTTTGGAAATATACTAGGCAGTGACGACACAGTCCAACTCTAAAGAATTAGGGCCCGGGGTGACGCAGCAGAGCAGACGGCTAGCAACCTGTGACATCACCCATCTGTCACTCAAAGAGACCACGCCCTTAAGTATGCACAACTTGAATCCTTAATATAAAATAAAACGGGTTAGTTATAACTCAAATTCATTCCCCCTTATAGTTGACTTGAACAGGTAAATTAGCTGTAGAGTCAAATCCGTGGCCATTTGAGGAACTGCGTTTTTTCGGCACTTCCGCGTTGTCTTCATTTCGCAGCAGCGGAGGTTGCCGCTTGTGGTGAACATGGTAAACCGGCTAAACTTGCATGTTAGCATTGTCAATGTGAGCATGCTAACATGCTGACGTTGGCATGTTGCACAAAGCACAGGTGTGCCTACATACAACCTCACAGGGTGGCTAGCATGGCTGTGGACGTGATGAAAGCATGTTGTGTTAGGACAGCAGAGTTTTTACTTTAGACCCGGATTTGAGTCCGTACATATTTGCTAAAATGAGACTGCTGTGAACAATGTGCATGGGCTTGCTGGCCAAAATTCTTGATATATCAGTGTGCAACTTTAAGTACTTTAATTCATTTCTGTCTTTAACAGCCTATCATGTTCTTTTTCTCTTATATCCAACATATACATAATTATTGTATGTCTATGCACCTTTTTAGTCAATCAACAGTATGTAACATAAGTTAATGTGGTTAATGGTACAACCACAACACCTTCAATGTGAAGCAGTGAGCCTTCTCCTCGTTTCGTGCCCCCCCCCCCCCCCCCCCTGCCAAAAAGATCAAAGGAGTGAAATGTGCTGACGCAGCCTACTTGCCGAGCTTCAGGCCAACCCAGGAAAGCACAAAAGATGGTCCTGTGAAAAGATGATCCAGAGCGAACCAACTGTGGGCAACTCAACCCTGAAAGAAGAAGGAATGATGAGTCAGCAGAGAGCCAGATTAAACAACTCTCCTCTCATCACTCCAGGAACAGATCTGGTAAGTGGGCAAGTGGGGCAGCTGCATGGTCAACAATGTCATAACAACTAGGGCTGAGCACAAGTGGATGTGTTTTCCTGGCTTTAAAGGCTGCATTACAGCAAAGTGATGTCATTTTTTGAACTTACCAGACTGTTCTAGCTTTTTACAATTGGTTATTAAATCCAAATATTTATCAAAAATCTAAGTATTTTGTGAAAGACAATCAACCCTACAATATTGTCACAGTATCCATATTGAGCTATTTTGTCAAAAATAGTGTGATAATTGATTTTTCTACGCATCGCCCAGCCCTTATATCTTGATATAATATAGACTGTAATAAGGCTTTAATGTAGTATTTAGATAATTAGATATGCAAATGGTTTTATAAGTTTTTTTGTTACTTTTAAGAGTATAATTTAAGAGGTTTTATCACCGATGAGTGAGTGGAGAGACAAACTGAAGCAACGACACAACACACAATGCAGCTGCACCATATCTCAACGTTATCACCATGACATTTTAAACACTAGAAGGGCACTCAGAGTGCAGACCTCCGACAAGGTCGTCTCTGTACTCAAAAAAATAAAATAAAAAATAACAATCCCTGTATCCGCTTCTTGTGATTTGGATCCGCTCCAAAATGTAGTAGGTTTCTTGGCACATGCTACACCATTCCACCAAGTTTCATGGAAATCGAGCCAGTGGTCTTTCCGTAATCTTGCTGACTAACAGACAAACAAACCAGCCAACTGAACCGAAAACATTACCTCGTTGGTGGAGGTGATAAGCAGCTCTTATATGTATTCATATGGTGATATTAACACCACCATGCAGCCATTTCACACAAAAATGTCCTCATTAAGATGCAAAGTTATGCAACAAGAGTCACAAATTCAATTCAGATTCATGAGCTCTGCAGGAGAGGGGAAGTGTAAAAAATGTGATGCATCCAAAGCAAACTAACGATAAAAGAAAACTTGAATATACTCTGAGATTATAAAGTCATAGATTTGCGACAAAAAACTCAGAAATTCTGACATTCAAGTCACAAATCGTTCTCGTAATTGCTCCTCTGTGTCTGTCTGCATGTACTGAACTGTTCCTATTGAGGCAGCTACTGTAGGTTGTTTCGTCTGGCCATGTTGTGTTAATGTGTGCTGTCTACACCGACACATTCTGCGGGGTCAGAGCCTTGCGGGGCTTTGGATAATTTCGGAATGTCTCCAGCTGTCTCGCGCCACGGTACTGCTTCCCTCAAGGACACGGAGTGGTGACCAGGAAACATTTGGATCTCTTATCTCCTCGTGGCAAACCGACATTCTTCAAGCTCCTCGAAGTTCTCCGTTGTCTCCGCAGATTAGCGTCCGCGTGGTTAGAAAATGTTCTGCCCCACGAGGGGGCCGCATTGTCTGATGGTGTGACTTCACTTTGATGACTCCTAAATCAAACTTAAGAGTTTACTGATTGAACATCATGTGGTTTAATTCACACCACAATTGAATGGTGTGAAATTAGTAGTCATTCAATTTGTTGGTAAAATGACACATTGTCCAACT